TCTCAATGTATATGTTCTTAGTTTTAATGTTGCAACCTTCATGCTCAATTAATTTGGCAGGCTGTGAGAAACTATCATTATGATGATGACCCTCTTCTTGTTGCTTTGCGACATTTCAATAGAGAGACAGCTTACTCAAGTTGATGGTCGTGTCCTTGAGGCCCCTAGGGTAAATTTTGAACTGCTGTTGAAGGATGTTATTGTGCAACTTCACTTTCAAATACAATTGACTACCATTGTCTTTTAAATTTATTGACCCCCCACTCCCAAACAATATAAAAAAGGAGAAAAAAAAAGGATGCTTAAACCTCTCAACTCCTCAGGACCAAACACTGGAATAGAAGGGCATCCAATTTTGGTGACTCCTTAATGTAATTCAAACGATTTGTGTGAATGTTTTTTTTTTTTTTTCACAATAAATGTGGACTATCATTTGATAAGATTTTACTATGTGAACGGGAGTTATTATTTCATGTTAGTGTTATTTTTGAGTTTTATTATAGGTTTTTTTTGGTTCAATAACCTAAAATTAGCACAATTAAAAAAAGAAAAAAAAGGGGGCTATCACGGCGTTTCTTAAAATGTCATTAAATAGCATTAGAGATACGACGGCGTTTTAAAAACATCACTAAATAGCATGGTGACGTCATGTTACCATTAGTAGAACTTTTAGCGGCGTTTTTAGAAAACGCCGCCTATTGTCATATAGCGACGTTTGTAAAGCGCGACAGAGTTATAGCGACGGCCACATCTTCGGCGTTTGGTGTTAAACGTCACAAAAAGATTTAACGGCGTTTTTAAGACCTTTTGCGGCGTTTTTTAAACGCCTCTAAAACCTGCATTTCCAGCAGTGTGGGTCCATTCTGGTCTGTCCACAAAAAATAACCCCAAAAGAAAAACAAATCTGCAGAAAGCCCTAAACATAATGAATAGAATAAAAGAATTTCAGGTTAACTAGGCCAAATATGTCCACACATAATAGTTAGACACTCACCCAGCCTAGTTACCGAAGAAAAAAAAATCTAATTACAGCATTCTCAGGTTACAGCTTCGATGGAATGGGAGTCTTTGCGTGTGCATGACTTGAACCCTTAACCTCCAAGTAAGGTGTAAGAGTTCTCCTTTGTTTCATACCCAAAATGAAAATAGAAAAAATGCAACTCAAAATCTAATTGATGAGGAAATTGAAGCACATAGGTCTTATATAAAGTGTTACAATGACACAACATATGATGATAGCTCACATAAGACTATCATTTCCCTTCCCAAACACGGCCTAAATGTCTAACTGTGGTGTCACATATCATACTACGTTTATTTATTTATTTATTATTATTGCTTTTTAAAACAAGTATTTTTCTTTCCAAGAATAGTGAATTTAGCATTCTGCTACTTATAAATTTTTAAATTTGATTCTAAATTTGAGTTGATATGAACTATTCCAATCCTTTTATCAAAATCTTTTCAAAAATTCTCCTCTTATCTCAAATTTCCTTTTTTTTTTTATATATCAAATTTGATAATAATTTATTTATTTAGGTTCCTTTTTAATTTTTCATTCTTCTCAATTTGATGAAAAAAAAAAAAAACTCTCCGTTGATTTGATGAAAGCATTAGGGCCAATTTTTCACAAGAGTTTGGAATAGTATTTTATACCTCTTCACTTCGTTGTTGTCTCCTTCTCTTTCTTTCATGTTGTTCTTCGCCAATCACCATTGCTATGAGCTTCCTCAGTACTTCCAGGATCTTTTGGCAACTTGCTAAAAAAGTCAGCTTTTTGACTTTTTAGCTTTTTTACATAAAAAAGTCACAAAAAACCAGTTTTTTAGCCGAAAAAGCTAAAAAGTCAGTTTTTTACCAATTTTTCGAAACACCACTCCATTCTTGTTTCCAACTCTCTGTCAAAAGTCGATTACGTTGTTGGTTTAATTCGACATCCTGAAGATTATGATGTGTTTGCGCACCATTGCAACCGTAACTGGAGTCGCCCTTACTTTTTAATGGATTAAATTACAAATACACATCTTTTCGAGATTTATTTAAAATACGAACTACTCTCTATAGTTTTAAAAATTATATTCTAATTCTTGAAGTTTTCAATTTCATAATAAATGACTCTTTTTATTAATAATTTACCAAGTCAATTAATAGTTTTTAATGATATTAGCAATATATTTCAATTAATAATTTAGATAATTTTATTATTATGTCGGAGAGTAGTTAAAAAATTTTATTTTTTCAATTATTTTTGTTAAATAAATAAATAATTCTGGTAATAGGGTATTTGTAATTTTTTAAACCAAAAGGGACAATCCGTATTTTCAGTAAATTTTAGAGGGTGTATTTGTAATTTATCTCTTTTTATTAATATTAAATTTAAATTTAAATAAAAGCTCTCTATAAAATCTCCATACTTTTTTTAATTATTTATTATACAAATTGATAATTACATGATTTTTTTATTCAAATTAAAGAAGACTTTCTTGTAAATTTATCACCCTCTCACTCACCAAATTTGTGCTTAAATTTATATTCAAATTTGAAGTGATTATGAATAATTAGAATTCAATAGCTTGCTGTTCATTTGAGTAGGGGTGAGCATGGTCCGGATTGGACCGGATTTGGGTAAAATTAGGACCAATCCGTTATCCACGGTTCTTGAAAAATTGGAACCAATCCAATCCGTTTAAATCATGGAACCAATCCGAACCAATCCATTTAAATACGGATTGGATCGGTTTAGGACCACGGATTCACATAATTAAATAACAAAAATATATATATAACACTTTAATTTCATAAAAATATAAACATAGCGCTATATTAGTTCCACAATAGCAACATATTTTTCTATAATAGCGACATACTATTCTAAAATTTAAACAACCAAAAGAAAATTAGTTTCACTATAAGTATTTAAACCATTACAACTTAAAACTAAAAATCAACAAACAAGAGTAATAAAAGAAGATATTATACGGTTTTAGGTTTGAGTTTAGATTTTATATAGAATGAAGAGAAGATACTATGGGGGAGGATGTATAATAAAAATATAGACTATTTGTATACGGTCCGGATCGGTTCCAATCCGGAACCGTGGGGTTCAATCCGGAACCAATCCGTGGACTACGGATTTTTAATTCTTCAATCCGGAACCGAACCGCGGCACAACGACCAAGACACGTGGCACCTCGGCTGACACGTCGGCGTCACCTTGCCACGTGTTGGTACTCAGAAAATATATCCCCACAATTAGAATTCAATAGCTTGCTGTTCATTTGAGCTGTGCTTGAGCTCGAATTTGAACACAATTAATAAATGAGCCAAATTTAAACAAAATAAGCTTGTCTGGATAAAGTTCAACTAGATTAATATTATAATATATACACATAAATAATATTTTATTTTAATATAAATGATGTAAAATGTGTTGTATATGTTTATAATAATATTTATAATGCATATGATAATGTGATTTTTATTTTTATTTGAGATTTGCTCCGAGCTCAAACTTAATTAATATTTAACAACCTATATGTTGGTTTAAGTTTATTCCATTGTGTATTTGAACATAATTTAAGCCAACATTCAAATTTAATTAATAAATAAATCACTTGACTCAATTCGATTAATTTACAACGCTACTCCAAAAAAGAGTGAAAGAGGAGCACAGCACAATCCTCTCAATCTCAAGAGAGATTGACATTGCAATATGCCCATTCAATGAATAAATGATGAAGTGTATAGTCACCAACCCAACCCTGCAGTACCACAGCTACAAAATATGGCCTATCTTGGAAAAGGCACTAAAAATAGACCCATCATTTGAACATTATCGATCCAACCAATTCCTTCACATTTTAGGCCCACCAATAAATGCAATTGACCAAGTTTAATTCATTTGACTACATATCTCTTTGTAATTTGGACGACCACATGTTTATATTGAAAAAGGTTTTGTTACTATCACATGTAAAATAACTTGGATAAATAAGCATATAAATGTATATAGAAAATGAAGTGTACTCTTCTTTGTGCTTTTTTTTTGGGGGTGATAAAAGTGAGTGAATTTTGGCCACTATGTGCAATATTACTATATAACAACATATTTGTAATCCATGAATCAAGAATTTCAGTCTGCATATGTTTGGTGTCACTGAGATTTAAGGGTATGAAATAAAGATTAAAGTGAGCAGCTCAAGTGGATCAATAAATAAATGAATAAAACTTTATTGAGCTTATGGAAGTGTGCAAGTCTTTTACTATTTTCCTTTTTCTTTTTAATTGTAGGTGCACAACAATAAAAGACATTAAGCAGCAAAATTCTAAGACTAATTACATATTATACTAGGTTTTTATTGCATTACCAAACATTATGTATAGTATTAAGTACTATATAAAGAGAAGGCTAGATCAGTCTGTTATAAAATATGGATATTTCTACGAATATGTTATATCTGTAAGTACCTATAAGTATTGGTACTTTATATGACACGTGTGTATACACACTGTAAAACTGTCCACCATCTCTGTTTGAAAATACATTTGCATTCATTTTTCCATTATTTCCTTTTTGCAATCAGATAAAAATATCATGCACCGTCTTATAAATTCATTTTGGACATTTACCAACATCCGACATGGGATATGCCAACAAGTTCTCAGCCATAATGTGCCACAACAGCCTACAATAATGAAATGAGCCCATCTTCACCCAAAAACAATGCATTCTTCGGCACAATATAACTTGAAAAACTATGCATTCAATACCTCAGTGACAGACATAAAAAAACATAGAGGCAATGACTCATTCCCAAAGAGGGTAGGTGTGTGTAGTCCAGCCAAGGCAGCTAAATGGGATGTCCCTCCACCCTCCTCTCTAGGACATTTTCAATAATACACACATGGGAGTGTCCACTGCACCAAAAAAACAAAAACAAAAAGACAACATTAATAATAATCACCTAAACTTTAGGTATGGTAATGAACTACATAAATGTTTCCAGCCCAACACATCCACATCAATTCCTTGCAACTAATTGCTGTGCCGATGGCAATGGTGTCAACTGCCACAAGCTAAGCATTTTTGCCTTAATTGATTCACCATTCAAAACCCACAACTACACAAGTTGTTTTTGTGATCAATGAGCTTTTTGAGTGTCATGGAGATCAAACCTAGCATCATCACTATCTCACTTATCTTCCTCATCACCACACCTTGTTTTTCAAAAGGTGAGCACAATTCTAGTAATGTTTTTTTGCTATTCAGTACAAGATCATTTGATTAATGCGTGTTTGATATTTTATTTTATTTTATTTTATATATATATATAGGAGAATTGGATGTGTCGAAGATGGATTCAGGGGTTTATGATATTGATTATAGAGGTCCAGAGACTCATTCATACATTCCTCCACCAAATCGATCCCGGCACAATCACAAGCCTTTTGTTCATGATGAAAGCACCATGGCGTATCGCAAATCCAAAGGTTTCAGAGCTGGAAATTATGGAGGAAGTGTAAGATTACTTATTCCCACAATGTTGATTTAGCTCATGTATCTTGTTTGTGTTTTTGATTATTTTGGAATAAGAAAAAGAAAAAAAACTGTTGATTTTGAAAACAATTTTAATCCACTCTATCATTACCACAAAGGGACTCTCTAGCACTTTCTATATATAGTAGAAAATGTCACTGTTCTTTTGGATTTTCAAGGCGTCATGATTAGGATTTGTTTGGTAATGTTTTCCTTTCCTGTTTTCTGTTTTTGTTTTCTAAAATTCTGAAAACTGGAATGAAAATATATTTGACTGTTTTGTGGTACAAAAAAATAGCAAATTTTCAAAAATTCATGAAAAAAAAAAGAAACTATTTTTACTTGTTTGGAAAACAAAATTTCAATCCCTCCCTTGTTCCTTTCCCTCATCCTGGCAACCCCTTAGGTTCTCTCCCTTGGCAAGTCGCCAAATATATATTTTTTTTATTTGTTTTGAAACATTTGTGTTTATTGAACATTTTTTTTGGGCCAAAAAAATTTCATGTTTTCTATTTACAAAAAATAGAAAACAGATTATTTTATATGTTTTAATTCTTTATTTTTTCTTTTACAGGATAAGAAAAGTCATGGATGAAGAAGTTTTTGGGAATGAAGTGTTTGTATTACTTTGGTTGAAATTATATTGTTACAGTTGAGTTGATTTCCTTGTTTGAATATTAGTTTGTGTGGGGACTAAACAGGAATGTAATGAACAGTCCTCTCTCTATGTATTATGTTCTGTTTATGTACCAATGTGTAAATGAAGATTTTGATACTTGTTTGGACTTTAAATTGTTGTAATATAATTTAATACATTATATAATTTGCACAAGGCTGTTTTAACTCAATGGCCATATCAAGTAACCAAACCAAATCAAGCCTTAAGTCCCATCAAATGGGGTCGCTTACATGAATCATTCTTCTTCACGCAGCCCTATCAAAGGCTATTTCGCTAGTCAAATTAAATAGATCCATATCTCTATTTACAATGCTAGCCAACGTTAATCTAGGCCTACCCCGTCTCCTAACACTCCCATCTACCGTTACAACATCGCATCTCTTCATTACGGCCTCTGTTGGTCTCCGTTGAATGTGACCAAACCATCTTAATCGATTATCTCTCAACTTATCTTCTATCGGTGCTATTCTTACCCATTTCCAAATACACTCATTCTTAATTTTGTCTTGTCTAGACTTGCCACACATCCACCTTAACATCCTCATCTCAGCCATACTCATCTTATCTACATGTTGTTTCTTGGTTGCCCAACACTTCGTTTCATACAATATCGCTGGTCTAATAGCTGTTCTATAGAACTTACTTTTTAGTCTAGTGGGTATTCGTTTATCGCACAGTATCCCAGACGCACTTGTCAACTTACACCATCCCGTCTTAATCCTATGGGTCACATCCGCATCAATCTCCCCCCACTGTTGTGATAATTGATCCCAAATAACGAAATGTTCACTCTTAGGCAGTTCTAGATTCTCAATCTTCACTTCTCCTCTGCTTTTATTGTTACTATTACTAAATTTACACTCCATGTACTCTGTCTTAGTTCTGCTTATCCGGAATCCTTTAGATTCACGAACTTTTCTCCAAATCTCCAACTTTGTGTTAACTCCTTCTCTAGTCTCATCTACTAGCACAATATCGTCTGCAAAAAGCATATACCATGGCACGTCATCTTGAATATTTCTTGTCAACTCATCCATAATTAAAGCAAAAAGATAAGGACTTAAGGTAGTTCCTTGGTGTAACCCTATAGTGATAGGAAATTCATTTGTCTCTCTAGCAGGCGATCTAATAGTGGTCACCACCCCTTCAAACATGTTCTTAATCACATCAATATAACCTTTTGTCACCCCTTTCTTTTCTAACACCTAGCATATTATATCCGGGGGCACTCTATCATATGCTTTCTCAAGGTCCATAAACACCATATGAATGTCTCTTTTCTTTTCTCTATACTTTTCTATTACTCTCCTCAAAAGATAAATCGCCTCCATTGTTGACCTGCCAGGCATAAATCTAAATTAATTCTCTGACATCTCTATTATATCTCGCAATCGACGTTCCATCACCCTCTCCCACACTTTCATTATATGACACATTAACTTGATTCTTCTATAGTTGTTGTAATTCTGGACATCTCCTTTATTCTTATAGATTGGCACTAAAATACTCTTCCTCCACTCATCTGGCATGTTCCTAATCAACAAAATTTTACTAAACAACTTAGTCAACTAAGCAACTCCCTTTTTACCCAAACACTTCCAATCTTCAAAAGGGATATTATCGGGTCCTAAAGGCTTATCTGATTTCATTTTCGTAAGTGCAATCTCCACTTCAAAGTTCCTAATCCTACGATAGAACCTATAGTCTTGGTTTATTATATTACTCTCTATTGCTGTACTTCTATGTTCCTCATTTAATAGTTTCTTAAAATAGTTCTTTTATCTTTTCTTAATCTTTTTATCCTTCACCAATAACTTAAAATCCCCACTCTTGATGTACTTAATTTGATTAAAGTCTCTTGTTTTCCTCTCCCGTATCTTAGTAAGTTTGTATACCCTCTTCTCTCCCTCCTTACTATCTAGTCTAGTGTATAGGTCATCATAAGCTTTTGACTTAGCTTCTCTCACTACTTTTTTGACCTCCTTATTAGCCAATTATAACAACCCCGACCTCTGATTAATATTAATCCGTATTTAATTATGCCTAACAGTAATTTAGGGGAGATTTGGAATTAATTTACATGTGTGTTGCATTATTTTTGTGACTTTATCTATTCGGTGTGGAAAGATCTATTCACGTTTTAGTTTCGGGTTGTGAATTGAAAGCCTTATCGGTATCCGAATAAAAAATTGACTTGATTTATGTGCTAGTTAGGATTTATAGGATTTTATAGTAGGTTTAATTAAAAATTCAGTTCAGAATGATTAAATTTGATTAAAATAATGCCATTTGTTTACTTTTGAACAAATTATTACTTATTAGGCTAATTGAGCCCCACTTACCTCTTTTATTCATTTTGATCATATTTGAGCTCATTCTAAGGGAGAGAACCGAGAGAGAGATGGAGAGTTGGGAGAATTGATTCAACAAGAAAGTTTGCTTAGAAATTAGAGGAGTTTGAAGAAGACTTGGGAGATTGGGTCTCTACACTTAGAATTCAAGGCTTGAGGTAGGAAATTCACCATTTTGTTTATGAATTTCAGTTGTTCATGCATGAGTTCAAGTTAATTGAGCTATAAGATATGAGAATCAAGCTTAAAGGCTAGAGAGGAAGGTCAATCCATGCATGCATGCATGTTTCATAACATTTTGAAGGATGATTTTCAAGAATTCCCTCATGCATGTGTTGAGTTCACTTTAATTTTGGGAAAACAATGAGTTTTATGTTATTTAGTAGCATTTGATCATGTTTTGGAGAGCCTTAGCTCAAAAATGTACATGCATGTTATGTTCATGCATGTTATGTTCATAAATTGATTTTGAGTTTAAAGTTGAATTTTGTACAATTGGTTTACTCTTGGGCCATGATTTCTTGAAATGATGCTTTAAACATGTTGTTTTATGAGTTTCTAGGTGTTTTCCAAAGTTTTGGTCCAAGAAAATTGAGTTTGATGCATTTAAGGTCGAATTTGAGCTTGGTGATCAAATCTGGAATTTCCAAAAATTTGATCCACGCTCGAGCGTGGAACTTTACACTCGAGCGTGCACCCTGAGTACATGCACTCTGCTCGAGCGTGGAAGTCTATGCTCGAGCGTGAAATGCATATACCCAGAAGTTCTTGTGTTTTACAGTCCGCTTAAGCGAGGGAATCCACGCTCGAGCAAGGTTCTGAGTCTTACGCTCGAGCGTAGGTCGAGCGCCCGTCGAGCGTGAAAAACATGTATCCAGTACTTTTGTCAGGGTTTACAGTCCACTTGAGCGGGCAAGTCCGCTCTTGAGCGGGGCTTTATTGTCTGCATGTCTGCTTGAGCGGGGAAACCCACGCTCGAGCGTGGACCTTATTTTTAGCAAATTTTAAGAAATGTTTTCCAATGCATTCTTGCATCCTCATCCTATCCTAGGCATTCCTAGGCCATGTTTAAGATTCCATAATGAGGATTAAAGGTTAGAAACACACTAAGGGCCAACGAAGTAAGTTATGAACAATTAGAAGGTGTGCTTTAAGTGTGTGTCTGTTATGTGTTATGTAGGTCACGTGCCGCGTACTGTTTGACCAACATGCTCCGTCTATCTATCTCAAGGCCAACTGTGAGTAATAACATAGTAAAGATATGTTCAACTTTACTTACTTTCTGTGTGATAAATTACGATCTGTTTTCTGAAATGATATGTTCTATACAATGAATGATTGTCTAATTTCTGTTATGTATTCGTGGCATCCTTAACATCATGTGATATCTGTTGGCTGTTACCCAGTATCAGAGGTTTCTTTATGGAACTTAATCTGTCTGCACTCTGTTACCCGTATCGGAGGCCCTGTCATGGGGGCTCAGCATGTTTACTCTCTGTTACCCGGATCCGGAGGTTCCTTTATGGAACTGGTTATTCATAACCCTCACGTGTCTGTGTCTGTTCTGTATCTGTTCTGTATCTGCTCTGTTAATGCTAATGGATGTATCACGTATATTTATGTATACCTCATGATTTCTGTATATGATCTGGACAAATTATGAATTATGATTTCTGAATCTGTACGGACTCATTCATTGAAACCCTTTTACTCTGTCATTGTTCACTGAGCTTTCGTTCACAGTTTATATTATATATGTAGGTGAGCCGGCGCATGATCAGGGCCAGAGGTGACGGCCTTCACCTCTGTTTTTGTCAGCCAACCGTTGTGCCTCCCGAGGAGGTTCCGATCAAAGTCTAGTTATATGGCTATTTTTGTACTCATGTTAGTCTCTGTTTGTTTTGTAAAGTCGGGTCCTGGGAATTACACTTTTGTAAATGTTTGTAAATATTGATGTCCTTCGACCGACACGCTCATGTATATAAGTTTTGAAATCTTCTGTCCCATGTATGTCATCACACCTCATTGGACCTTGTCTATTTTGTATAATTGCTTCCGCAGCCCCTTACTATTTGCTAATATGTCAGAGGCCTTTGGTAATCCAAGGATTACTGGCCGGTTACGAGGCTAAACCTACAGGGACGGGTTTGGGTTGTGACAGAGTGGTGTAAGAGCGAGCACGTGTTCTACCGTACACACAGGTCCATATGAGCTTAGGATGTCCTAGTAAGAGTTAGGGGCATTCCATCTTCATGTGTGAGTGTATGGTAATCCAAATGAATATGAAAACTGAATGTAAATTTGAGCAAATGAATTGAAAGAAACGAATAAGATTATGCCTATGTTTATTATCGTTTGATGTCTCTATAGCAGAGGAAATGATGTAAATGAATCTTCAGAGGCTCGCATGGGCTGAATGGAACAAATGCTTGCAGCATTGACTGAATCTTTGACACAATAGCAGAGACAACAACCTTTGCCCCCTCCACCTCCGCCGGCACAGGCCGAAGCAGATAATAATGACATCATCAACTTGCCACAGAAATTCATGAAAATGAAACCGCCGACATTCTATGGTGGAATTGAACCGTTGAAAGCAGAGACGTGGTTACTTGAAATGGAGAAGCTATGTGAAGTGTTTCCTTGTTCTGAACTCCAGAAAGTCCTCCTAGCCACCTATACTTTGAAGGATGAAGCCCAAAGGTGGTGGTAACTGATTCGAAGTGGTAATGGAAATATGACGTGGGCACAGTTTAATGCCATCTTCTATGATAAATACTTTTCCCAATGTTTCAGGGATCG